TTTTGTTTAGCTTTTCAGCAGACTGACCATTCTTGAATTTTAGAAAAAGCTGCCTCCAGCCCTGTGATGCCACATTCTCCCACGTTTCTCCCACCTCAGCAGCTGCTCTCCGCTGCCTTCTATGCTGGGGTTTCCTCCAGCCCCACCTCTAGACTTACTGTTTTTCAGGGCTTGACTTTGGTCCTTCTTTTCTGGATATATTTTCTTTCTAAATGGTCTCGTTCATCCCCGACTTTAAATAGTATGTATATTCAGGGACGCCTGGGTGGCTCAGTCAGTTAAGCGTCTGCCTTCAGCTCAGGTCATGATCTCAGGGTCCTGGGACCAAGCCCCACATCGGGCTCCGTGCTCAACACGGAGTCTGCTTCTCCCTCTGCCTCTCCCCTCTACTGTTGCTCTCTCTCTCTCAAATAAATAAATAAAATCTTAAAAAAAGGTATGTATATTCTGATGACCAGTATTTTTTTGTCTAAAATCTAAATAGTGACTCCAAATTTATAAATCCAAAGGCTACCTGACATTTCCTATGAATATTTCACAGGTATTTTAACCTTCATGCGTCTTAAACGGAGTTCTTGACAACCCACCCAATTTACCTTTCCTTTTGTCTTTTTTCTTCCTATTATAGCACACAGCACCAATATCTCCCCAGGTATCTAATCTTAAAACCCAGAATTTACCTTCATTCCTCTTTTTATTCATCTACCTCAATCAAACCACATACAAATTCTGTCAGTTCAACTTTTTAAAACGTATTTGAATTCATCAATTTTTCTCCATCTCTACCACCACTACCCTAGTCCAAGCATCGCTCACCTAGACTCTTACAATGAATTCCTAACTTATAAGAAATTCCTTTCCTTCCTCCAATCCAGTTTATTTATGACATCATTCAAGAGATATTATTTCTGTTTTGGAATTGGGACTCTTCCAATCTGATAACGCCCTGGGATTAGAATTCAGAAATCACATAATGCTGGACCTGAACAAGATGTATGTATCATTTAATCTACACCCTACAGCAATAAGGATTGTCTAGTTTATGCTGAAGTAATTTTTTAAAAAGCCTCAGACCTCAGTGGCTTAAAGCTGCAAAGAATTCTTTCATGCTCAAACTAGACAACAATTATGGGATGGTTGGGGGCTGTGCTCTGAGTTATCCGCATCCCAGGACTCATCCTGATAGAGCTGCCACTGCCTGGAATCTTGTCAGTCATCATAAATGAGGGAGAGAGAGCTAGAGCCAATCACACACTGGTTCTTAGCACTTTCCCACAAGTGACATATATCACTTTTAATCAGTTTCTTTGTCCAAAGCAAGTTACATGGCCACACTTAAATTATAAGGGTGCAAGGCAGTTCAATATTTCCATGTGCCCAAATGGAAAACTGAAAATATTTAGTGAATAGCTCAAATGGCTAACTCATCCTTACATTTTATAGATGAAGAAATTGGGACCTGGAGAGATTGTGTCACTTGTAACATTGAGCTGATTTATGTCAGAGCCAAAGCAAAAACTGAGTCTTGAATTCACTGTCCAGTGCTTTTTAAAAATAATGAGCCAGGAATTACTTGTTCTTTACTTCCAATAAAATTAATCTAAATGCCATAGGGCGCCTGGGTGGTTCGGTTAAATGTCGGTTAAGCGTCCGACTCTTGATTTCAGCTCAGGTCATGATCTTGTGGTCGTGAGATTGGGCCTTGTGTCAGGCTTGGCGCTTGGCATGGAGCCTGCTTAAGATCCTCTCACTCCCTCTCCCTCTACCCCTCCCCCACAAATAATAATAATTAAAAAAAGTTAATTTAAATGTCTTAATATCAACATTTTATTTATTTACATGATATAAAATCCTTGCATTGAAATACTTTCTTAGCTCTGCCTTAAAGTGTAAAACTCAGACAAGTCAGGGTTCTTGTCCTCTAGTCTCACTCACACGTTCTAGCAAAATGCTCCAGTGATGAAACACTCAAAATCTCTCCAACCTGTCTTCTCTCATTGCCAGAAAAACTAAGTCATGTTTTATGTTTGAGATTCTAAACATGTAGGTAAAAAATGCAAAGAGATAAGCAGGAGAACTATGAATCTATATACATATAACCAAGCACTGTATGTCTGTCGAATCCGTTAGAAATGTATTCCCAACAAAAACTCAGCTAAGAGTGGTTTTAGGAAGAGAGGTTTATGTTACTATCATAACAGGAAGTCTACAGGTCGTTGGCTGCAAGTATTGGTTCAGTGGCTCAATGGTATCAAAGCTCATAGTTCTTTTGGTCTTTTCTCATGGACACAGGGTGGTTGCAACTGCCCCCTGAGAGCAAGTTTAGATGAAAGGGGAAGATTGAAGCCAGCTGTGACAACGCCCCTGAGGAGCAAAACTTCCTCAGAGTCAACACACTTGCCCTCTGTTCTAGCAGAGCCCCTGAGGTCTCGTTTGCCAGGCCTGGGAATACATGGCCACCCCTAGCAGCAAGAGAGCCTGGAAATATAGGGAACAAAATTATCATTATGATTGGCCAAGCCTAATTCTGCCTTGAACAAAAAATGTGTTCTGTTGGCAAGGAATGTCATGGGGGTAGAATGTGCTAGGATGAATATTAAAGCAACTCACAATGTCCACCTCATTTGTTGATTGATTAAAAGGCAGTATTATTTTTAAAGTTAACATGGAAACTTTTATTAAAAAAACAAAATATGTATTCACTACTGAATCCGTAATAGCAATATTATGTACCTTCTCAATTGATAAAATTTAAAAATACAATAAAGTAGCACAGTCAGTTTTGCTATAATGCTTGTTATGAAAACACAAATTTGTTCCAACAAGATTGATACATTAGGGAACTGTTTGGGCATAACACAATTTCACATTTGCTGGTGTGTGATTTCAACCGCTTAAAACATTAGGTGAATGCAGAAAACCGTATCCAGATGCCTTGAGCCACCAAGGAGTACAAAAATTGCACACATGTACACCCCTCAAAATTACCAGTGACCTCAGTTCCCTGCCTGGGCTGTGAGCCACACTCATCCACGTCTGCTGGTATCCATTTCCATCTGATTTTGCATATGGCTCCTTTCCTGACCCATAAACTGTGACCCTTCTAAAGCCCACTCCCGCAAGTATCCTTCAGTTCTGTTTCAATATCAAGTGCCATATTTATTATACTATTTATGTATTTCTTAACCATGTATCACATGTAAAACTGTGCAACCATTTTTTATAGTTTTCTATCTGTTTTTTTTTTTTTGTGGGTCACTGACAAAGTTTTGGAGTGTTGTGTCCTTAACCTCATATTTCCCATAAGTTCTATAGTTTTAATGGTCCACGTTTGCAATAGTACTACACCTAAATAGCGTATCTCTGTTAGCTACCGGGTGAACACATGCAAACATATTATATACGTATATGTACATATAATATTAGAATACAAGTGAGGCTTTTTAACAGGAATCAAGAAAGCTCATTTTACATCTTAGTAGTGAGTGTGCCTTTTAAAGTATTTATTGAATGAGCTTGGGAGTCCTTGTTAAAAAAAAGACTATCAATTATATTAAATAAAAACCATTCAATATGCCAAGCTATATATAGATGTCTCTGCAGCGGGTGAAGATTTGTCATTTATCTTTTAAGGTAATTATGCAAGTTATATTCAGCCCACACATCTTGAGTTGGAAAATGGTTTTTATCTTTTTTTCCTCATCTCTAAACCTTGTCTAACAAGATTTAGCCACGATTGAGAAGGGGCAGTGCAAAGCTGAATTTTGGCAGTACCTTTACAATAAAAGAGAATTTACTTTCCTCTTAGAGTCTCTCTTTTCTTTAACGAGGACAGACAAAACACTCAGCACATTCCCAGAGCTTCTGCAAATTTCCCCCTTGAGAAATATCAGTAACTCCAAGGAAAAACAACTTCAAAAAAATTAATGAAAGGGCCATCAGTATTTGCCTTCCACCCTCCCAATCCCTGCCCCTGTCCTTTCCACTTTCCACATGTCTCTCTTCAGTTTCAAACATTTTTCCTTCCCTTCTTCTCCCAAGGTGAGCTGCCATTTCCTGGCACTCCATCTATGAAAAGGGAAAAGGGAAAAGATCTTACAGAAATCACATCCTGATGTCACCGTGCTTATTTTCCTAAGCAGCAGAACAGAGAAGAACAGGGTTGGTACCACGAAAGGGTGAATTTCAGGCAAGGGTCACGCATGGACAGGAGACATCAAAAGACTCCAGGCTTCTGTGGACATTTCCTCCTCCTCTTGTGCCTGTGGCCAGATGCCTCTCAAATTCAAACGCCTGTTTCCTTGAGAATGTGGAGCAAGGTTTGGCAAATACATTGTTGGTAAATAATTTGAGAATGTTCATCAAGGCGGAAGCACGACTTTTGATTGCACACGGTAATCCTTAAAAATGATTCTGTACCCACTGTTGTGATGCTGTTGTAAATCCTAACCACCCCACACTAACTCTGTGGGTCACACGTGGGTGACTCCAGCTAAAAGTCCCATGCAAGCCCCTGTGTGCCTCCAGCGAGCAGACCACAACGCAGTGTCCCAGTGCATCTGTCCATGCCCACAGGCACACATTAAACCCACAAGCCGCAGGTTACACTCCCGAGCACTGCCCTTCTGGCCTGCCCCACCCTGTTCTTCCCTTTTCCCCCAACCCCCAGCCTCGCGGCCACACACAATGAGATTTTTGTTTGCTCCGGTAGCATGTGACAGCGAAGTCCCTGCTTTGCCTAGCTCTGTGCTGCAGGTCTCTCAGGTAACAGGTGGCAGCTTCCCCTGTTGGATTCTAGGTATAAAAAAGAATGACCTCATAGGGGTGGAGCTCTGGGACTCCATACAGGTGGCAGTCACAGCCAGGTAACCCCGGAGCGAAGCCGTTTAGTAAGAAGGGGGCAGTTAAAACTCGTCACTCTGGTGGCTTCAACCCTGACCCTGAGGCACTGCAGCAAATAGCCGTTGCCTGCAAGTCTCCAAAGCTTGCCTTTGCCTCAGATGGAGCCCAGAGAAGCCACTGGGAAAGAGAACATGGGCACCAAGAAAAAGAATCTGACTTTCTTGAGGCCCAGGCTGTATATGCTGGAGAGAAGGAAGACCGACACAGTGGTTGACAGCAGTGTTCCTGGGGACCACTCTGGTACCTTGAGGAGGAGCCAGTCTGACAGGACCGAATACAACCAGAAACTACAAGGTAACCAACACAAATCATTTGTCCTAGGTTATTGCACAGCCAGCTCCGTTCTCCTACTCTTCCATTTGCAAAGAAATGACTTCAGGCAAAGGAGAAAAATCGAATATTATCTTCTCTGGAAGGAGGGAAATAAGGCAAATCGGAAAAATTTTAAAAATAAGAAAATGAAAGTAAATGTCACTCATAAATTATGGGAAAAAAATTTATTATTTATTATGTGTTTCAATAGTTAACGAACCAATTCTGAATTATTCTGAATGTACTTTTTTCCTGGTGAGGGTAATATTTTTTCTGCAGTCTTCCTCCCTTCCTTCTCCCTCCTGCAGCCAATTTAAGAAGTGGGAAGCTCTAGAAAGCAAATGATTTAGACAGACAGTTTCTCTCAATAGATAGGTGTGGGATGTCACACTACGAGATCTCTCCAAGTAATTGTACTGAACTGTGATTGCGGTTATCTTAAACAGGGGCATGAAACTGCAATCATGTCTGTGAAAACGAGGAATGTCAGTCATTGGGTTGGTATAATAGGATTTGTTGAAAATCAGATAGGTGTTCATTCCTTCAGAGTGAATCCAATGGCATCCAAATATGGTAAGAGATGTTTAGCATGCTTAGATTGAATGACTCTTGAGGAAATGACTTCAGTTTATTTTGTGATGGTCATAAGAGAGTTTGACATACACCAGTTATTATAACACATCGGTTTAAGGCCCCGAATGTCTAGTCCTTCCCATCCACCCTCTCTTCTCGCTCCCTTTCTCTTGAAGGTCCCTTGTTCGAGTAAACTTCATTTTGATGCTGATTGTGCAATGTTTTAAGTATCCACTGAGGTACCTGTTATGTGATCCCCAGAACCTGTCTCTCCCACTTTGAGCACACTGTGAGTTTGAGCTCTTATAATCCCACCACGAGCTGTCATTCTGGACTGACAGATTATGATGAGGCTAGAAAGACCAATAGAACACACTTGTACTTAGTAGGTCTCTTTCCTAAAAAAAAAAAAAAAATGCTCAGACTTAGTTATACAAATTAATGAAATAAATTAAATTCATTTAAATGAAATCTTTAAAGATAACTACTGTGAATTAACGCTTTAAAAAAATCCTGATGGCTCAGGGTTAAAATGCAGTCAAGTTTTATCCTTAAAGGACTTTTTAAAAAAATGGGAAAGAGGTATTGTTTGATCTTTGAAATTAACTTTTCTCAAGGCAATGGATATGTTGGCAAGAATGCAAATTTTAAAGTCATACACATTTGTCTTGCAATCCCGGCTCTTCCACTTATGACTTATAAGATTTTGAGCAAATTACTTCTAATTTCTGAGCCTCAGTTTCCCTATCTATGAAAGTGGGACAATGATACTTACCACATAGTGTTGCTGGGAGAATGAAATCAGATAATTACATGACACACCTGGCATATTGGCTGAAATATGGGATGTGCACAATAATAGTTATTTTTTTATTTTAGGAATAATGGGACCAATAATGATAGAATTAGAATAAGACTTTATTCTATTAATCAAATTTACTAATTTACCAATCCATTTCAACTCTTTTTCTGTCTTTTGATGAAGAGACCACATAAACAAAGCCCATGGCTTCATCTCTAATAACATGTTTATTCTGTCTGAGATTCACTAATTCAGCAACTTTTTGGTCCAGATTTTCCATTAGCAAATAAAAAATAGAAATTCAGTTCCTAAACTTAGTAAAAAAAAAAAAAAAAATCTGTGACCACAAAAGACGGCAGATGTTTGTTGGTCTGCAGAAGACCTCAGGCTGCTTATGTACTCCACTAGCTTTGTGGTTTCCTTGTTGGATCCTGTCTTTGAAGCTAGAAGAAGACTCAGGAGTTAACAACCCATATTCCTAGAATTGTTTGTGTAGGAGAAAAATCATCAGGGAGTGGAGATGAGCACATCAGAGCTGTAAGACAGGTTGGCCCCTGATAAGTAACACTTTTCAGATGTAACCCTTAATAAAATCCGAGTCTGATATTAATGCCTAATAGAACTTTTAGTAAGATTCTCCTGTAACTGCTTTGGCATCAATAGAAAACATTTTCTCATTAGCATTCAAAGCAATCAGTTCTTTTGGGTTTGCACTCTGGTCTGCATTGTACCCATTATCATGCAGATGAATCCTAAATCACCTTAAGAAGTTTTTTTTATTATTATTATGGCAATGCTGAGAGTTTTTCCTCTGCCTACCTTGGAATTGGTAGTTCCCTGGGAGGCATTGGATAAAGATCTGAGCTGGTTAGAGCCCTCTGATGGATGGCCTAAAGCTACTGTGAGGTCACAAGGTGCTTTTCAACGCTGGAAAGAGGCCTTTGGGGCGCCTGGGTGGCTCAGTCGTTAAGCATCTGCCTTTGCCTCAGGTCATGATCCTGGGATCCTGGGATCCTGGGATCCTGGGATCGAGCCCCACATCGGGCTCCCTGCTCAGTGGGAAGCCTGCTTCTCCCTCTCCCACTTCCCCCGCTTGTGTTCCCTCTCTCGCTGTGTCTCTCTCTGTCAAATAAATAAATAAAATCTTAAAAAAAAAAAAAGAGGCCTTAGATTATTTAGCCAGAGTCCTTCAGTGCAGTGTTGTTATTTGAGTAATATGGTTCACTGCTCTGTCTCTTCGAGAAAATTCTCTGGGTTCTGGGAAATCTGTGACCTTTCTTTGGTGCCCCTGGGTTCACCTCTTAACTCACACTACACAGTCTACTTGTTCAATTCACTTTCTGGCTGACATCACTTTAGTAGTGTGAATCCTAAATTGTAATTTCTTTAAAAATGGCACACTGGGTAAGAGCTACTACATTAAACAATAGAACATGGTTCTGGGGGCACCTGGGTGGCTCAGTCAGTTAAGTCTCCAACTCTTGGTTTTGGCTCAGCTCATGGTCTCTGGGTCATGAGATCAAGCCCCACGTTGGGCTCTCACACAACAGGGAGTCTGCTTGAAAGAGTCTCTCCTTCTGGACCCTCACCCTCACTCGGGAGCACGTGTGTGCTTTCTCTCTCTCAAATAAATAAATCTTTTAAAAAATAACATGGTTCTAATGAGAGTACTTTAAAATCTTTGTAGAAGGTTGTGATCACAACATAGTCACTAAGCCTCAAGTTTTGCAATAATAGTCCTTTGCTAGCTTACTCTTAATAGCTCCTATATTCCTTCAACAGATTTGTTCAGGTAATTGGCATTTATTGGGTATGTTATGTGGTGAGCAAAACCAGAATGTATGCCAGGGATTACAACTACAAAATCATTAAGAAAAAAAAAAAGTCTGACCTTTACTCCAAAGGGGCTTAAACTCATTGGGAAAGATAAGACAGGTAAACAAATGCAATAAAGTGGCATGAAAGAATACAGGTGGGATCAGCGGGTCCATAAAAGGAGGAAATGGTCTATTCAGGATTGGGCAGGGGAGGTTGTTGGAAAACATTGTTAAGAGTTGATAAGGTGGGCACCAGGAGAAAAGCAGGATGGGGAGAGAAGCATGTTTTAACTTCTTCATCATACTGATCTCTGTCTGAAATTAGGTAGTTTGTTTCCTTGTTTATTGCCTATTATTGACTCCCACTTGTTCTCCCATCTCTCATCCCCCACTCCGTGAAAAAGACCCTATCTGTCTTGGTAACTGTTCCCTCTCTACACTTAGAATCATGCCCAGCCCACCGTAAGCATTCAGTATCTTTCAAATAGAATGAATGACTTGAACGAGCTGGTCCAGGTAGGGAATCAGTGTGAGGAAAGACCTCGGAGCCTGAATTAATAGCCCTTGTACCTTTGAATGTGAGGATACATGTCTCCATTAATAAAGATGATTCTTCAGGAAAAAAGAAATAAACATATTAGGGATGAAAATGTACAGTGTTGCCTAGATAACAAATAATTCTCAGTGGAAGCCTATTTCATTCCTGACTCTACATTTTAGAGCACAGCAGACCCTCCTTCAGCTCATTCCTCTTCTTCCATTCATCACAAGAGCTGCATCACCTTACCTTCCCAGCCAGCTCAGCTCCTCATTGCCATTTTACTGGGGAGTCACGGAGAGTGATCAAGGCAGGGGAAACTGACTGGCTGATATATTAAAACTCTTTTCTTTGGGAAATGATTTTGTGTATGATTATATGTATGAACTATACATTTGAAATATGCCTAATTTAAAAGTTATGTACAAGTGTGTCTGTATGTATGCAGATTATCTAATTTATCTACAGTATGCAAACATAGTTATGTATGTGTACTTGAGACATACTTCTGTAATGATTAAAACTTTTTATAAAATGTTTATTGATTAACATTCAGCAGCCTTTTCTGAAAATCTTACATGATTGATATGACTGATATTACAGGCCTCAGTGTGGGTGATATGGGATGAATGTTTATGTCCCCTGCAAATTTACATGTTGAAGCCTAATCCTCAATGTGATGTTATTTGGAGGTGGGTTTTGGGGAGATAATCAGGTCATGAGGGTAAAACCCTGCTGAATGGGATTAGTACCTTATAAGAACAAGCATGAGAGACCTCGCTCCCTCTCTCTCTGTTCTCTGTCATGTGAGGGTCTGAAAAGGCAGTCATCTGTCAGCTAGGAAATGGGCCCTTATCAGACACTGGATCTGCCTTAAACTTGGACTTCCCAGACTCCAGAACTAAGAGAAAAATAAATGTTTGTTGTTTAAGCCATCCAATCAATGGTATATTTGTTGTAGCAACCCAAACTAATTACGACAGTGGGTCAGTTACTTTTATTCTATATGGCCATACTAAACCTCTGGTTAATTTTTTGGCCTATGTACGTTCTTTCTTGTCAAGTATCAGGTGAAAGAGTGAGAGCTAATGGGTAAAGTGTCATTACTGTTGCTGATAACACAAGTCAAACCCACATCTCCAATTCATAATAGGTCCATGGTCTTGTCTTTTCTTTCTTTCTTTCTTTTTTTGTATTCAAAGACTATTATATCATTCTCATTAAGAAAGGACTGCTTGGTTGTTTTTTTGAA